TGTGTGTGTGTGTGTATGTATAATCTATAAAGTGTGGAAAAAAGGGAAAGGGTTACGAGGGAAAGATGCAAAAAATGAAAAAATGCAAAATAATAAACATGATAAAAATGCAAATAAAGACCCCAGATGAAGTGACAATGATAAGGTATGTATATATGTATATATGTATATAAATGCAAATAAATAAATGATAAAAAACAAGTGTGATGATGAATTATGTAGACGTGCAAAACAAACAAACAGAAACAGAAACAGAAACAGAAATATCCAAGACCAAAAGATTATATTCTCACTGGAATGGAACCAAGGCATGCTGCTGCTGCTGACACATACGCTCTTGTCTGCACTGCTGCTCCAAAATCCCTTGGTTCATTCTCTCTCTATTCATACCCGCTTCGTTCCCACCTTCAGCCAAATAAGGAAATCCTCTCATGCTATCATCGTCATCCGTCATAAAATCGTCGTATCCATACTCGGCAGAATTATCAAAAAACGCACCGCCGTTGTTGCCTACTTCGACATCAATGGGCGTGACTAGATCGTTCGATTCGAATGGAAATTCGCTCAATTGTAACGAGGGCATCGTTATCTGCGTGTACAATCGATGGAATTCAAAAGGCATTTGATGGGTACCGTCAGAGTATGCTTCGAATCGAAGTGGCGAGGATGAGTGGTCGTACGATGACACGTGTGAAGGCGGCGATGAGTATGACGTGGGCGAGGGGGGTGATGTGAAGGATGTCGGTGGAGACGTAAAGGATGAAGTATCGCTGACAAAAGAGTGAAACGATTCCACTGACGATGAGCGGTAATGACCCCAAACGGATGTGGTTCGAGGGAAGGATTGCGATTGAGATGATTGTAATATCTGTTGGTATTGTCCTTGCTGTTGTTGTTGTTGCTGTTGTTGCTGCTGTTGCTGCTGTTGTTGTTGTCTTGATTTCTCTTTATCACCATCTTTCCAACTTCCAGAGGTCTTTTTCCCCATCGCTCCCTTGACTACTCCTTTCCCGCCGTTCTTTCCAATTTTCTTTTTTGGTGCAAATTTGTAATTCGGATACAGCTTCTGGTGTTCTTCCTTTAACTGCCTTGCAATCTCCTTCCATTCACTCTTTGTGGCAGGAGATTCTCTGTTCCATCGTTGAGCAGCGATAATAGAGACGATTTTGTTGTTTAAACCAGGACGTTCTTTGAGGATCTGGTGCTGCATGTGTTCACGATATGCCATAAAGCAGTTTTTCGGACGTGGAATGTGACCAGACTTTTGTCGTTTTCTCCAGGATGATGCTTGAATGTTTGATGCGACAGAGGGAGAAGTAGAAGGAGTGGAAGGAGAAGAGGAGTGATCTGAAGAATCGTTTGAAGATGGATAGACGGGGGAAATGGGAATCTTGGGAATTGATTGAGCGGCGACAGAGTTGGTGTTTCCATCAGGCGTGCCAGTCTTGGGAACTATGATGACTTCGAACCCTTTTGGTATGTGATATACGCTATATTCTGATTGTCCGGCGACGTTGACGGGTGATGGAGGAGCGGGTGCGATTTGGCGTAGCTTGGAGGAAGCTGATTGTTGCTGGAATTTCTGTTCTTCGGTCTTTTGTAGAGGATACAGTGCAGGTAACGGAGAGGGGGAGGATGGTGAGCGTGGTGATGTAATGGGTGAAGAATGTAGGGATGATGGGAAAGTGAAGGAAGTTTTTTGATCTTCTACTGATGTAGCCATTTTTAAATGATGATGTTGATGTTGATGATGATTGTATGTATGATGTGTATTCTTTTACTACGCGATTGTATTTTCTATGAGATTTCTATATTATTCGGCGCTTTCTATAAATATTTTTCACTTTTTCCCTTGCTCTCAGAGCAAAGACTGATGTACGAATACGTTGGGGCTTTTTCTAATATACTATATGTCCGTGAAGGATGATTCTTGCTTTCAAAACACAGTCTACACACTTCTTATCTGAAAAAAGTGTATAAACTCGTCGTACTGAAGGTTGTATATAAAGAAAAAAAGTCATGGCAAGTTGCACAATATATCAGTTATTTAGTCTTGAGGTCTATTGGTTTTTTTCTTTATGCCAATTTCGTTGTTAAAGAAATCCTTGTTTGACATTTTCAGGCGTATTACAAAAAATCGAAGTTTAATATGTTGTATTATCGTTACTATGTATGGCAAGCTTTGTGGATATACAACATTACTACTTACGCAACTACTATGCAACAACAATGGAGCTAATTATCAATGAATGTCAGTTTCGCTGTGCGATATATGGGGATGTATGACATATGCGTATATATACAGTATATATGTGTATAACAGTATTATTATACATTCACAAATTACACTAATACACTCACTAATACACTCACAAATACACTCATATAATCTCTTATTTACCGCAATTGTTTCTAATCAATTATAACTAGTAATGATGATCACTGTTTTCCATTTATATGTACTGTAAAAGCTAAAATCTATTGTAAATTGGATCCACCAACTATCAACGTTTCCCATCCCCCCATCCTACTCCCCACACT